CGCAGATTCCCAGCTGACCCAGAGGGACCACCCTGCCCGGCCGGGCTCCAGACACACAAAGCACAGCCCTGGGATCCCCAGAACCTGCTGCTGGATCCTTCTAGAGTAGGCAAAGAGGGGTTTGGGGAGAGCACAGTGGGGAGGGCGCTCGCCTTGCACCCAGGTTCGATCCCTGGCACCCCATCTGGCCCCCCTGCGCACCGCCAGAAGCAATTCCTGAGTGCAGAGCCAGGACTGACTACTGAGCATCGCCGGTGTGGCCCCAAAACCGAAAATTCAAAAACCAAAAAAGGGGCTGAAGTGATAGCACAGCAGGGAGGGCATTTGCCTTGCACGCGGCCGACCTGGGTTCGATTCCCAGCGTCCCATATGGTTCCCCTGAGCACCAACAGGAGTCATTCCTGAGTGAAGAGCCAGGAGTAACCCCTGAGCATCACTGGGTGTGACCCAAAAAGCAAAAAAAAAAAAAACCCTACCAAAGCAGACAAATCAGCCAGGGGCATGTGCAATGGCAGTCCTGTCACTAATCGTGGGGAAATGCACCCCGAAACTCGGAGTCTCTCCTTCCCCACTCCCCGTGACTCTCATCCCGGCCCAGGGAAGCACACACTGCAGGGGGTGGGTGCAGCCTTGATGGAAAACAGGGTGGAGGGGCTCCCCCAAGTGAAAACCGGGCCAGCCTCCCGACTGTGGGCATTTACTCCGCAGAGAGGAAATCTCCTGCACCCCCCGGCACTCCCCACAACAGCCCCGGCACAGGACAAACTGGGGAGCACAGACATGGGCGGCCTCGCCACCGGCATGCTGTCTCCCCCAAAAAGGGGGTGACTGCAGCCCGCAGCAGCCCCCGACGGCCTGGCACCAGCCCACCCTAACACTGGAGTCAGCTCGCCCGGGTCAGCCCACCCAAACGGGTCACTGTAGGCAACTGAGCAGATAAAGACACACACGGCAAAAGCCAGCCAGGCCCCCCGGGCAAAGCAGGGGTGACAGTGCTGGGCCGGGCAGGGGGACGGAGAACTGGTGAAAGGGGGCAGCGGTGTGGAGAAGGGCGGATCCCTGACTCGGGATGGGGACCCTGATGATGTGACATGTCTCGATGCGAAGGGTGATATCACCCCCACCCGGGCACAGCCACCACCACCCACTTCATCTGCGGGAATTGAGAGAGAAGTGGTTTTTCTGGGAATGTGGCGAGGGGGGCCAGCGCGACAGCCCCTTCCCGGGACACCAGCAATCGTGGGGCCTCTCCGGGCCCAGCCGGCCACCCCGCATGCCCGCGTCAGGGGGATGCTGAGAAGAAAGGGGGTCCCGGGCCTCTGCCTGACCCCTTGACCTGGAGCGGGGACAGGAAAGCCCTGGGAAGGCTGGGTGGCGGCGGGCCAGTCCTGTGCTATTACTCCAAAACGACTGTCTCCAGGGGGTCGCAATCCCCTGCCCCCATGTCTCCATCTATTTCTCTCTGGAGTCCCCTGTCGGGAGCCAGTGAGGAGAGAGCCCCAGCACTAGTCTCGGGGGAGAAGGCCCAGTCATGAGCTCACGCAGGGGTGGTTGACTTGGGACCCCTCAGCTCCGGGCTGGAGTGCCGGGCCAGCCACACCAGACTGACCCCAAGTCCAGAAGATGCCGGGACACCCCCCCCCCCCACCAGCGCCGAGCTCAGGCTGGACGCACTGGAGGCCCTGGCCTCCATCCTCAGTGAAAGAGGCCTCAAAAATAGGCCACAGCAATAGCACAGCGGCCCCGGCGTTTGCCTTGCACGCCACAGACCCAGCTCCATCCCCAGGACCCCCGAGCCCCGCCAGGAGGGGTCCTTGAGCAGAGTCAGGGGTGAGCCCTGAGCACAGCCCGATGTAGCCCCCAAACAAACAACAAACAGCAAGTCCCCGAGCGCAGGACGTCTCGGCCCGCCAGCCCTCCAGGTCTCCCATGGGCCCCACACTCACTGGACGTCTCTGAAGACGACGGTGACGCGGTCGTTGTTGGCAACCTCGATGTCCCACACGCAGTTGGTATGGTGCGGGTAGTTGTTCGGGTACGAGGGGCTGAAGAATTGTCCCGAGGGCTGGGTCAAGAAGCCTCCACAGGGTTGGCTGCCTGTGGGGGCAAACGGCACCGCTGAGGACACCCCAGAACACGGCAGCACTCCGGACACGGCACGACAACGGGGAGGGACCCCTCCTCCCCCCCCACCCCCCTGCTGCCCTCCCATCTCGGGGGCGCGCAGCTTGGGCGGGGACAGCTCTGGTAGCTGGGGCTGGAGAAGTTCCCGCTGGCAGAGGTCAAGAGGTCGCCACAGTGCGAGGGTCCAGTGCAGGAGAGAGGGGAAGCCCCCCCCCCCCGGGGGCATCCTCTAGGTGAACATCCCCCCACGTCACACACACATGCCGCGTCAGGCCTCACCACGCCCCTCCTGCCCTGTACAGGGGATCCCCGGCCGCACATAGTGGATCTGTCTCTATCTCCCCACAGGGCCTAGAACCTTCCAGGCAGGAATGGACTGGCACTGGAGCACAGGCCCCAAGGCTAAATCTCCCAGGAATCAACTAAGTCATGCGGTCACTGTTCTGCTGACCCAGGAAGGCGGTGGGGGAACTGGGGTGAGTGGCCACCCTCACAGAACCTCACTCCGGAGACTCTGACCGGAGTGAGGTTCTGCACAGTGGCCGCCAACACGGGGTGAGCACCCCGGGAAGTCTGGCTGGTGACCGGGCACCCTGTGACTCTCTGGCTCTGATTCCTCTCCTGTGTCACTTGCATGACACACCATGCAGCTGTGGAAGTCCCAAGGACAGATGGGCTGGATTGGGACATGGGCGATGTCGAGAAGGGACATGAGAGGGCAGGAGGGACAGGCAGGACGCCTGGGTCCAGCCTTCCCTGAAGCTCCACCTGGATCATGTCACACACCCGCACCCCGGGGGCCCCACTTGCTCATAGTGGACAGGGGGTTCCTGCATGGCCACCACAGTCCTGGCCTAGATGTCCCATCCCGTAGGTGACTAAGCCCCCATTCCTGAGAATGGGACCCCTCTTAGCAGGACACAGAGCACAAAGGCCTCACCCCAGATGCAGAGTCTCAGCCAGAGCTGGGCTGAGACCCCTGGCAGCGGGTGGGTGTAGGAATCAGGAAACTCACCTGTAATGCCTGTAGTTGTCCTAGGCCACCAGACTGAAGAGAGAGGGACACGGGTCAGGATGTCCTGCCCACTGTCTGTGCTCAGGACACTGGGCAGGGCCTGGAGCTCAGAGGGGCGGGGGTATCCACACTCGCAGCCCGTGGGGTCCCAGATAGATCCTCTGGGAACCCAGGCTCGTGTCTCTGTCTTATTCTCACATTGCTTGTGGACACACCCGGTGATGCTGCCCCCCACAGTCCCGGGATCCCTGGGTCCCCAGGAGAAACTGCCCCTCCTGCTGCTCAGGTGTGGGGGGTGGGCCTGGACTCACCTGTGGTAGGAGTGACTGTTGTATTTGTGGTTGCTGAAAAGGGAAAAACGAGGGAGTTTTCCATTAGTGTATTTAGGGGACAGACACACAGGACCCAGACTTTGCTTTTTTGCCTCAACCAGGGATTGGGAATCTTCCTGAATGTTGACAAGAGCTAAAAGGAAGTGAACGCGTGAGTCCCTCATATGAAGTGGGGCTTCGAGACTTTTGTGGAGGAGGCAAATGGGGCACAGCTGGAGATGCTCAGGGTGACCCTGGCTCTGGGCTCGGGAGTCAACCCTGTGTTGCTCTGGATCCGGACTGATGCCGGGGATCAAACCGTGTGTGAACGATCATTAAAGGCAAGGCAAGTCTCTCTCCCCCCTGGCCCCCTGCCCCCCACCTTGCATGCTCTGTTCACAAAAGAGTGAATTGTTGCATGGACCTTAATGTCCATTACATCCATAAGGGGATAAGGGCATTGTCCTGAGTCTGAACCAAGCCAAGAAGAACAGGGGTGCAGCCAGTGAGCAGGGATGAAGCTGGAATGCAGGGGTGAGGCAGGTGTGCAGTGGTGAGTTGGGTGTGAAGGGGCAGAGCTGGGCATCAGGGGAGAGGCTGCTATGCAGGGGTGAGGCGACATGCAGGGTGAGGTTGGTGTGTAGGGGTGAGGCTGGTGAGCAGAGGGGAAGTGTGTGTGCAGATGCAAGCTGGGAGCCCGAGGGGATTTGCTGAGGGCTCATCCTCTGCAGAGGACCTGACAGGTGTGGGGAGAGGACACAGGGACCGAGGGACAGGCAGACAGAAGGACACTTACTTGTGGTATTTGATATTGGCCACGAAACTGGAGAGAAGGGGGCACAATTAGGGTCTCCCAGGAAACTGTTCACATCACTGGACTCAGGTTAGTCCCTGTCCTCCCTGTGGAACCTCACACCTGGGCCCTGAGCTCCCCTGGGCTGGATAGGCCCTGAGTCTGGGGCCCTCAGCACCTGCAGCGGTGAGCAGAATTTGAGGACACATGGGTCACTCTGGGGCCCTCAGTGTCGGGACTTCATTCTGAGACTCATACAGGGGCTATCATGTAGCGGGGGAGGCTGATGGCCCTGGGGTCATGCTGCGGCCACCCGGGTCAGGGTCGCTGTGAGTCTCCAGCATGGGTGGGGGTGAGACCGAGACTCACCTGTGGTGTTGGTGCTGCCCTGGGCATCTGCAGGAGACAGGAAAGGGGTTTGTTTCAGTGTGGGGTGTCGGGACAGGCAACAGCCCAAGAGATGCCCAGTCCTGCCCCCTGAGTCCCCTGGTCTGAGGGATTCGGGATGTGGAGTCTGAGCACTGAGAGGAATTTGAGCTTGGATGTCTCCCGGGATAAGTCAGGGGAGGCTGTGAGATCCTCTCTGTATTGTCCCCCACACCCCATATTTCTCAGGGCCCCGAGACTCTCATGAGCCCCCAGTCAGGAGACCTAAGGCATGAGGCCGGTCTCTGCACAAGCCCCGTCAGAGAAGGGGACAGAGGTTCCGGGACAAGGGACCGGGTCCAGGAGAACCCCCACGGGCAGCCCGGCCCACCTGAACAGATGACACCGGCATCCTCCCCGTGGTTGCAGTTGTGTGAGTTCCAGCCGTTGTGTCGGCAGGACCACAGGTACGACTCATGGCCAGTGCACCTCACGTTGTCCAGCAGGATGGGGCCTGAGCCCTGGCCAAAGCGTGCACTTCCAGGGGCCGACAGTGCCCAGCCGCAGCCCAGCTGCCTGCACACCACGTTGGCATCCAGGGTGTCCCAGTCATCGTCACACACGCTGCCCCAGGAGCCTCGGTACAGGACCTCCACGCGCCCCTGGCAGCGGTGGCCTCCGTTCACCAGCCTCAGGGCAAGACCAGAGTCGGTGCCTGTGAGGGAGGGACGGTCACTCTCCCTGACACCCACAATTCCCCCAGGACAAAGGGCAGGGCCTAGTCCCTAGGAGGCTGGACTGCCGCCTGCCACCATCCTCCATCCAACAGGAGTGTTGTAGAACTCCTGTGCATGGGGGCTGACTTGGCTGTCCCCATCTGCCCCCTAAATGCCCAGAAGTCCCGCCCAGGGCTCTGTACCATAATGAACCAAGAGTTCAGTCAAGGGCAACTGCAGAGAGATCTAGCGAGGCACCACCCTCCGGAGACCCCATTAAACAGCAGGAATGAGCAGGTAATTGTGTGCCCGAGCACACACACACACTCACACACAAACATAAACACATGCACACTCACACACATACAAACACACTCACACAGATGTACATGCACCAATGATGATCTGGTCCATCAGAAAATGTCACAGAGATTCACTAGCACAACACAAAGTGTAGCTGTGGAAGTCCCAAGGACAGATGGGCTGATTGGGACATGGGAGATGGGAGATGCCAGAAATAGAGACACGGGTCTCTGGACAGTTCCTGGGTGAACGGAAACTGCAGGGCTGGAGCATGTGACTGTCCTGTGTAAGACAGGAGAGCTCCAGGAATGTGGATGCTGTTGGACTCAGTTAACGCAGGATCTGGGTGTAGGTTGGGGCTCAGTGAGGATGCGCTGGCACCCCAGAGACCCCAGAGAGGGATCGGCTGAGGGGGATGGGAAGCTCCTGTGTGGACACTCCCGAGTGCCCAGCCCTGAGGATAGTAGGTCCCCCAGAGTGAGGACCTGGGCTCTGCCAGAAAGGTCGGCACCAGGCAGAGACCAGTGGGCATGGGGAACTCAGAGCTGGCACTCCGGAGACCACGTGCCCCCTGCTAGGTGCAGCCCCTGCTCTGGTCATCTGGGAGCAGGAGGCTTTGAGCAGACACACAAAGACACACAGTCCCCATGAGGGTGAGGGCCTAGCCACCAACTCTCACTGCAGGAAAAGGTCAACATGGTCCCTGCTCCTGCCCTGCCCTTCCCCAGAACACAGGGAGAAGGTCTCAGCCACCATCTGGGGGACTTGGGCAGAGTGTGTCCTCCCAGGTCATCTCAGAAGGAGACTTTGAGACAACTGAGTCTGTTCCCATGAGCATGGAGAGGATGTGTGGTGGGGGACAGCTACATGCAGTGTAGGAGGAGGAAGAAGCCGACCCTCGAGAAGGGACATCAGAGGGCATGAGGGAGAGGCAGGACGCCTGAGTCCAGCCTTCCCTGAAGCTCCACCTGGATCATGTCATACACCCGCACCCCGGGGGCTCTCCTTGCTCAGAGTGACATGGGGTTCCTGCATGGCCACCACAGTGCTGGCCTCAGTGTCCCATCGCCTAGGTGACAGAGCCCCCATTCCTTAGAATGGGACCCCTCTCAGCAGGCCAGGGAGCTTGGAGGCCTCACCCTCGATGCAGAGTCTCTGCCAGAGCTGGGTTGAAACCCTGGCAGCGTGTGGGTGTAGGAATCAGGAAACTCACCTGTAATGGCTGTAGTTGTCTCAGGCCACCAGACTGAAGAGAGAGGGACACATGTCAGGACGTCCTGCCCATGGTCTGTGCCCAGGACACTGGGCAGGGCCTGGAGCTCACAGGGGTGGGTGGGCCGGGGCCTGGCACCCACCCTCACAGCACGTTGGGGTCCGGAATGGATCCTCTGGGAACCCGGGCTTGTGTCTCTCCCTTGTTCTCTCAATGGTGCCTGGATGCACTCATGAGACTGTGGACTGGGGACACTGCAGCTGCCCCCCACAGTCCCGGGGTCCCGGGGTCCCCAGGAGAAACTGCCCCTCCTGCTGCTCAGGTGGGGGGAGTGTGTCTGGACTCACCTGTGTTAGGAACGACTGTTGTAGATGTGGTTGATGAACCTGAAAAGGGAAAAAATGGGTGAGTTTTCCCTTAGTGTATTTAGGGGACAGACACACAGGACCCAGAATTTGCTTTTTTGCCTCAATCATGAATTGGGAATCTTCCTGAGTGTTGACAAGAGCGAAAAGGAGGTGAACTCGAGAGTCCCTCATATGAAGTGGGGCCTCGAGACGTTTTTGGAGGAGGCAGGTGGGGCACAGCTGGAGATGCTCAGGGTGACCCTGGCTCTGGGCTTGGGCGTCAACCGCGTGTTGCTCTGCATCGGACTGATGCCAGGGATCAAATTCTGTGTAAACGATCATTCAATGCAAGACAAGCCTCTCTCCCTCCCTGCCCTCCCCGCCCCCCACCTCGCATGCTCCGTTCACAAATGAGTGAATTGTTGCATGGACCTTAATGTCCGTTAGATCCATTGGGAGACCAGGGCATTGTCCTGAGCCTGAACCGAGCGAAGAGAACAGGGGTGCAGACGGTGAGTAGGGATGAAGCTGGAATGAAGGGGTGAGGCAGGTGTGCAGTGGTGAGCTGGGTGTATAGGGGCAGAGCTGGGCATCAGAGGAGAGGGGGCTATGCAGGGTGCGGCAACTTGCAGGGTGATATTGGGGTGCAGGGGGGAGGCAATATGGTAGGGAGAGGTTGGTGTGCAGGGATGAGGTTGGAGAGCAGGGGGAATTGCGTGTGCAGGTGCAGAGTTGGGAGCCCAGGGGGATTTGGTGTGGGCTCACCCTCTAGAGGACATGAAAGGTGTGGGGAGAGAACTCAGGAACCGAGGGACAGGCAGGCAGCAGGACACTTACCCGTGGCAGTTGTTTGCCACCAATCTGGGGAGAAAGGGATACAGTTAGGGTCTCCAGGGAAACTGCCCACGGCCATCAGGTTAGGTTAGTCCCTGTCCTCCCTGCACACTCACACCTTGGCCATGAGCTCCCCTGGACAGGACAGGCCCAGATCCCAGTGCCCTTCAGCACCCTCGTTGTGGGCAGAATATGGGGACACATCGGTCACCCGGGGCCATCAGTGTCAGGGCCTCGTTCTGAGACAAGTGCAGGGGCTGCAGGTGGCTGAGGGAGCTGATGGTCCCAGGTCCATGCTGTGTCCACCCAGGTTGGGGTCCCCAGGAATCTCCCCAGGACTTGCTGGTCCTCCCACTGCCCAGGAAGGGTGGGGGCAAGGCCGAGACTCACCTGGGGCGCTGGTGCTGCCCTGGGCATCTGCAGGAGACAGGAAAGGGGTTTCTTTCAGTAAGGGGTGTCGGGACAGGCACCAGCCCGAGAGATGCCCAGTCCTGCCCCCTGAGCCCCCGGGTCTGAGGGATTCGGGATGTGGAGTCTGAGCACTGAGAGGAATTTGAGCTTGGATGTCTCCCGGGATAAGTTAGGGGAGGCTGTGAGATCCTCTCCGTGTTGTCCCCCACACCTCTTATTTCTCAGGGCCCCGAGACTCTCATGAGCCCCCAGTCAGGAGACCTAAGGCGTGAGGCCGGCCTCTGCACAAGCCCCGTCAGAGAAGGGGACAGAGTGCTGGGACAAGGACCAGGTCCAGGAGAACCCCCATGGGCAGCCCGGCCCACCTGAGCAGATGACGCCGGCATCCTCCCCGTGGTTGCAGTTGTGTGAGTTCCAACCATTGTGTTGGCAGGACCACAGGTAGGACTCGTGGCCAGTGCACCTCACGTCGTCAAGCAGGATGGGGCCAGAGCTCTGGCCGAAGCGTGCATTCCCGGGGGCTGACAGCGCCCAGCCGCAGCCCAGCTGCCTGCACACCACGTTGGCGTCCAGGGTGTCCCAGCTATCATCACACACGCTGCCCCAGGAACCTCGATACAGGACCTCCACGCGGCCCTGGCAGCGGTGGCCTCCGTTCACCAGCCTCAGGGCCAGACCAGAGTCGGTGCCTGTGAGGGAGGGACGGTCACTCTCCCCGACACCCACAATTCCCCCAGGACCAAGGGGTCCTTTTGGGCAGGGCCTATTCCCTAGGAGACTGGACTACCGCCTGCCCCCGTCCTCCATCCCTAGGAGTGTTCCGTTACTCCTGTGAATGGGCGTTGACTCTGCTGCCCCCATCTGACCCCCGCAATGCCCAGGAGTCCCACCCAGGGACTACAGGTTCAGAGCATCTGTACCATAATGAACCAGAGTTCAGAAAAGGGCAACTGCAGAGAGATCTAGCAAGGCACGTTCCCCGGAACACCCAGGACAACAGCGGGAATCAGCAGGTGATTGTGTGCTCGAGCACACACACACACACACACTCACACTCACACTCACACACTTACACAATCACAGGCACACAATCATCAATGATCTGTTCCAACAGAGGAATGTCCTAAAAATTCACTCGCACAGCACACCATGCAGCTGGGAAGTCCCAAGGACAGATGGGCTGATTGGGACATGGGAGATGGGAGATGCCAGAAATAGAGACCCGGGTCTTTGGACAGTTCCTGGGTGAATGGAAACTGCAGGGCTGGAGCATGTAACTGTCCTATGTAAGAGAGGAGAGCTCTGGGGATCTGGATGCTGTTGGACTCAGTTAACGCAGGATCCAAGCGTTGCTTTGGGCTCAGTGAGGATGCGCTGGGACCCCAGAGACCCCAGAGAGAGATCGGCTGAGAGGGATGGCAAGCTCTTGTGTGGACACTCCCGAGTGCCCAGCCCTGAGGATAGTAGGTCCCTCGGAGTGAAGACCTGGGCTCTGCCAGAAAGGGCGGCACCAAGCACTGACCAGTGGGCGTGGAGAAATCAGAGCTGGCACCGTGGAGACCGCGTGCCCCCTGCTAGGTGCAGCCCCTGCTCTGGTCATCTGGGAGCAGGAGGCTTTGAGCAGATACACAAAGACACACAGTCCCCGTGAGGGTGAAGGCCTAGCCACCAACTCTCACTGCAGGAAAAGGTCAACGTGGTCCCTGCACCTGCCCTGCCGCTCCCCAGAACACAGGGAGAAGGTCTCAGCCACCATCTGGGGGACTTGGGCAGAGTGTGTCCTCCCAGGTCATCTCAGAAGAAGACACTGAGAAAACTGAGTCTGTTCCCATGAGCACGGAGAGGATGTGTGGTGGGGGACAGCTACATGCCGAGTAGGAGGAGGAAGAAGCCGACCCTCGAGAAGGGACATCAGAGGGCATGAGGAACAGGCAGGACGCCTGGGTCCAGCCTTCCCTGAAGCTCCACCTGGATCATGTCACACACCCGCACCCCGGGAGCCCTCCAGCTCAGAGTGACATGGGGTTCCTGCATGGCCACCACAGTCCTGGCCTTGGTGTCCCATCCTGTAGGTGACAGAGCCCCCATTCCTGAGAAGTGGGACCCCTCTCAGCAGGCCTGGGAATAAGAGGCCTCACCCCAGATGCAGAGTCTCAGCCAGAGCTGGGCTGAGACCCCTGGCAGCGGGTGGGTGTAGGAATCTCACCTATAGTGCTTGCAGCTGGCCACGGGGCTGGGGAGAGAGAAACACACGTCAGGACGTCCTGCCCACTGTCTGTGCTCAGGACAATGGGCTCACTCACTGCTCAGGATGGGTGGGGGCAAGGCCGAGACTTACTTGAGGCCGATGGTGTGGAGCTGGATCCTGCACCTGCAGTAGAGGAGGAAGCAAGGTGTTTGTCAGTGCCGTCGAGGCCGGGGGGAGGGGGAGCAGAGACCCTGAGAGTCCGACCGGCCCCTCTGAGGCTGAGGGGTGCAGGGAGTCCAGCGCTAGAGCTGAGAGGAAATGGAGCTTGGGGGACCCGGGGACATTCTCAGTTAATGTCCGTTAACCCCTAGAGTCACACAAGTCCTTGGAGGCTCCGGCTCTCGGATGCCCACGGGAGATGGCCCAGGGTCCGTGTGCGGTGAGGGGACACAGGACAGAGAGAGGCCCCCAGAATTGCCTCAGCCCCGACTTTGAGCCTGTCCCTATGGGGACCAGGACGCTGTTGAGACTGAGGCCTCCTGGGCCCCCTCGGTCGCACCCACAGGCGTTTCCTGGCTGGAGCAAGGACGGGGCGCGTCTGCCCTCTGTCAGGGCCAGGCGAAATGAGGTACCCCATACCCTAACCTAGGCGAGACCAAGAAGAGCCCCACAATCGCACTGGGATCCCCATTGATTACCTGTGTGGATAGAGCACAGAGGAGGTGAGGTGAGACCCCAAGAGGAAGCTGTTGGAAGGTCTGGGGGCCTCGACACCCTCTGTCCCGCCCCTCCCCTGCTGTGGCTGCTGCTGTGAGCACAGCCTCCGTTGCTGCCCTCAGGCCTGGCATTCTCTGCTTGGGGGAGCCCATGGCCGCCTCATAGGCCTTGTCTCTCTGGCACACAAGGGACCCATGGTGCCCCTGGGGCACTGCGGACTTGTCCTTCCTCTTCTGCTGGACTCGGATTTCTTAGTGACAATGGTCTCTGTTCCTGCCCACTTCCGGAGCCAGAACTTTCGTCTCTTTTAACCATTGTTCTTGGTCTCCCGAAGTGGCCACAAGTCCGCACAGGCCCTCAGGAGCCCACAGTGAAGGACCAAGGCCTCTCTCTGTAGAAGGAACCCGCCTGGGGTGGTCCGCAAAGACTTCTATGAACCCTGCAGCTGGTCTGCGGCCACCATGGGACATGACAGCCCAGGGGTGGGCCCTGAACACGGGCACTGGATCCTCTGGCACCAGGCAGGAGCACACGCGATGAGTTTGGGACATTAGGATCCATCCCTCTCCAGGCTCAGAAAGGGCTCGGGAGAGAGAGACGCCAACCAGGCCTTGCTCAGAGTCCCCCGGCAGCTTCCACTGTGGGTGCTGAGTGCCTGATAACTCCCACACCTCCCCTGCTGTAGCGGAATACCGGCTCCGCGGAACATTACCTTCCGCGGTGAACCCTGACTTTGAGGCCGAGACACACGAAGACACAAAGTCTCCGTGAGGGTGACGGCCTAGCCACCAGCCCCCATTGCAGGGAAAGGTCAACGTGGGCCCAGAACCTACCCAGGCTGCTCCCCAGAACACAGGGAGACGGTCTCAGCCGCCAGCTAGGGGACTTGGGGCGAGTGTGTCCTCCCAGGTCTGCTCAGAAGGAGACCATGAGATAACCAAGTCTGCCCCCATGAGCACGAAGAGGACATGGGGTGGGGGACAGCCACATGCAGAGCAGGAGAAGGAAGAAGCTGACCCTCGAGAAGGGACATCAGAGGGCATGAGGGACAGGCAGGACGCCTGGGTCCAGCATTCCTTGAAGCTCCTCCTGGATCATGTCACACACCCACACCCCGGGGGCTCTCCTTGTTCAGAGTGACATGGGGTTCCTGCATGGCCACCACAGTCCTGTCCTCGGTGTCCCATCCCATAGGTGACAGAGCCCCCGTTCCTGAGAACGGGACCCCTCTCAGCAGGCCGGAAAGCACGGAGGCCTCACCCCAGACAGAGTCTCAGCCAGAGCTGGGCTGAGACCCTGGCAGTAGGTGGGTGCAGGAAACAGGTAATTCACCTGCTGTGACTGTATTCGAATGAGGCCACTAGGTTGGAGAGAGAGGGACATGTGTCAGGACGTCCTGCCCACTGTCTGTGCTCAGGACACTGGGTGGGGCCTGGAACTCAGAGGGGCAGGTGGGGCTGGCGCCTGGCACCTACACTTGCAGCCCATGGGGTCCCGGATGGATCCTCCGGGAACCCGGGCTCGTGTCTCTGCCTTATTCTCACATACAAGCCCAGACGCACCCGTTGAGGCTGTGGCCTGGGGACACTGTAGCTGCCCCCCACTGTCCCGTGGTCTCAGGGAAATGGTCCCAAGGAGAAAATGCCCCTTCTCCTCTTAAGGTGCGGGGGACGGGGCTGGACTCACTCGAAGAAGTAGAGGGCCACAGAGCAGCACTTGTTTCACCTAAAAGGTACAGAAAGGGAAGGATTTCCTTAGTGCATTTAGGAAACAGACACGCAGGACCCAGTGTTTGTTTTTGCGCCCTCCAGGATTGGGAAGCTCTCTGGGTGTTGACAAGAGCTACAAGGAGGTGAACTCGGGGTGGGTGTTCTCATAACAACTGGGGCTCAGAGACTTTTGTGGGGGAGGCAGGTGGGGCACACCAGTAGGGGACCAAGGGCATTGTCCTGACCCTGAACCGAGCGGAGAGAACAGGGGTGCAGGCAGTGAGCAGGGATGAAGCTGGAATGCAGGGGCGAGGCAGGTGTGTAGTAGTGAGTTTGCTGTGCAGGGCAGAGTTGGGCATCAGGGAAGAGACGACATGCAGGGTGAGGTTGGTGTGCAGGGGTGAGGTAATATTGTCGGGTGAGGTTGGTGTGCAGGGGACAAGTGTGTGTGCAGATACAAGCTGGGAGCCCGAGGGGATTTGCTGAGGGCTCATCCTCTGCAGAGGACCTGACATGTGTGGGAGAGAACACGGCACCTGAGGGAGAGGCAGGCAGCAGGACACTTACCCGCAGTCGAAGCTGCTGTGTGCCACCAGTCTGCGGAGAAGGGGACACTATTAGGCTCTCCCAAGAAACTGTCCACAACACTGTGCTACAGGTTACTCCCTGTCCTCCGTGGACCCTCACGCCTGGGACTTGAGCTCTCCCTGGCGGGACAGGCCCAGAGCTGGGGCCCTCAGCACCCATAGCGGGGGACAGAATCTGGGAACACACGGGTCACTAAGGGCCCCTAGTGTGGGGTCCTCATTTGGGAGTCGTGCAGGGGCTACAGGCGGGTGGGGGAAGCTGACAACCCCAGGGCCATGCTGCTTCCCCCAAGGATGAGGTCCAAGAGAGTCTCCTCAGGACCTTCTTCTCTTCCCACTGCCCAGGAAGGGTCGGGGAGAGGCTGAGACTCACCTGGGGCGCTGGTGCTGCCCTGGGCATCTGCAGGAGACAGGAAAGGGGTTTCTTTCAGTAAGGGGTGTCGGGACAGGAACCAGCCCGAGAGATGCCCAGTCCTGCCCCCTGAAACCCCGGGTCTGAGGGATTCGGGATGTGGAGTCTGAGCACTGAGAGGAATTTGAGCTTGGATGTCTCCCGGGATAAGTCAGGGGAGGCTGTGAGATCCTCACCGTGTTGTCCCCCACACCCCTTATTTCTCAGGGCCCCGAGACTCTCATGAGCCCCCAGTCAGGAGACCTAAGGTGTGAGGATGGCCTCTGCACATGCCCCGTCAGAGAAGGGGACAGAGGTGCCGAGACAAGGGACTGGGTCCAAGAGAAACCCCATGGGCAGCCTGGCCCACCTGAGCAGATGACGCTGGCATCCTCCCCGTGGTTGCAGTTGTGAGAGTTCCAGCCATTGTGTCGGCAGGACCACAGGTAGGACTCGTGGCCAGTGCAGCTCACGTCGTCCAGCAGGATGGGGCCTGAGCCCTGGCCAAAGCGTGCATTCCCGGGGGCTGACAGTGCCCAGCCGCAGCCCAGCTGCCTGCACACCACGTTGGCATCCAGGGTGTCCCAGTTGTCGTCACACACGCTGCCCCAGGAGCCTCGGTACAGGACCTCCACGCGGCCCTGGCAGCGGTGGCCTCCGTTCACCAGCCTCAGGGCCAGACCAGAGTCGGTGCCTGTGAGGGAGGGACGGTCACTCTCCCTGACACCCACAATTCCCCCAGGACCAAGGGGTCCTCTTGGGCAGGGCCTGGTCCCTAGGAGACTGGACTGCCGCATGCTGCCATCCTTCATCCCCAGGAGTGTTCTAGAACTCCTGTGCATGGGGGCTGACTCGGCTGCCCCCATCTGCCCCCCGCAATGCCCAGGAGTCCCACCCAGGACTCTGTACCATAATGAACCAGAGTTCAGTCAAGGGCAACTGCAGAGAGATCTAGCGAGGCACCATCCCCCGGAGACCCCATTAAACAGCAGGAATGAGCGGGTAATTGTGTGCCCGAGCACACGCACACACACACACATACACACAACACACACGCACACTCACACACATACAGACACACTCACACAGATGTACATGCACCAATGATGATCTGTTCCATCAGAAAATGTCACAAAGATTCACTCACACAACACACGTGCAGTTGAGAAGTCCCAAGGACAGATGGGCTGATTGGGACATGGGAGATGGGAGATGCCAGAAATAGAGACACGGGTCTCTGGACAGTTCCTGGGTGAACGGAAACTGCAGGGCTGGAGCATGTGACTGTCCTGTGTAAGACAGGAGAGCTCCAGGGATGTGGATGCTGTTGGGACTCAGTTAACACAGGATCTGGGCATAGTTTGGGGCTCTGTGAGGATGTGCTGGGACCCCAGAGACCCCAGAGAGGGATCGGCTGAGGGGGATGGGAAGCTCCTGTGTGGACACTCCCGAGTGCCCAGCCCTGAGGATAGTAGGTCCCTCGGAGTGAGGACCCAGGCTCTGCTGGAAAGGGTGGCACCAGGCACTGATCAGTGGGCATGGGGAACTCAGAGCTGGCACCGTGGAGACCGCATGCCCCCTGCTTGGTGCAGCCCCTGCTCTGGTCATCCAGGAGCAGGAGGCCTTGAGCAGACACAAAGACACACAGTCTCTGTGGGGGTGACAGTCTAGCCACCCCCTTCCCATTGCAGGGAAAGGTCAACGTGGGCCTTATACCCGCCCGGCTGCTCCCCAGAACTCAAGGAGATGGTCTCAGCCGCCATCTGAGGGTCTCGGGCAGAGTGTGTCCTCCCAGGTCTGCTCAGAAGGAGACAGTGAGACAATGGAGTCAGTCCCCACATGCACGCAGAGGACATGGGGTGGGGGACAGCCACATGCAGAGCAGGAGGAGGAAGTAGCTGACCTTCGAGAAGGGACATTAGAGGGCATGAGGGACAGGCAGGATGCCTGGGTCCAGCCTGAATCATGTCTCACACCCGCACCCCAAGGGCCCTGCTGCTCAGAGTGACATTGGGGTTCCTGCATGGCCACCACAGTCCTGGCTTCGGTGTCCCATCCTGTAGGTGACAGAGCCCCCATTTCTGAGAAGTGGGACCCCTCTCAGCAGGACTGGGAACACGAGGCCTCACCCCAGATGCAGAGTCTGAGCCAGAGCTGGGCTGAGACCCTTGGCAGCGGGTGGGTGTAGGAATCAGGAAACTCACCTATTGTGTCTGCAGCTGGCCACGTGGCTGGGGGGAGAGAGAGACACACGTCAGGACGTCCTGCCCACTGTCTGTGCTCAGGACACTGGGTGGGGCCTGGAACTCAGAGGGGCGGGTGGGTCCGGCGCCTGGCACCCACACTTGCAGCCCGTGGGGTTCCAGATGGATCCTCCGGGAACCCGGGCTCGTGTCTCTGCACTATTCTCACATTCGCACCCTTTGGGGCTGTGGCCTGGGGACACTGTAGCTGCCCCCCACAGTCCCGGGGTCTCAGGGAAATGGTCCCATGGAGAAAATGCCCCTTCTCCTCTTAAGGTGTGGGGGACGGGGCTGGACTCACTCGAAGGATCAGAGGGCGACGGAGCAGCGCTCGTTTCACCTAAAAGGTACAGAAAGGGAAGGATTTCCTTAGTGCATTTAGGAAACAGACACGCAGGACCCAGTGTTTGTTTTTGCGCCCTCCAGGATTGGGAAGCTCTCTGGGTGTTGACAAGAGCTACAAGGATGTGAACTCGGGGTGGGTGTTCTCATAACAACTGGGGCTCAGAGACTTTTGTGGGGGAGGCAGGTGGGGCACACCAGTAGGGGACCAAGGGCATTGTCCTGACCCTGAACCGAGCGGAGAGAACAGGGGTGCAGGCGGTGAGCAGGGATGAAGCTGGAATGCAGGGGTGAGGCAGGTGTGTAGTAGTGAGTTTGCTGTGCAGGGCAGAGTTGGGCATCAGGGAAGAGACGACATGCAGGGTGAGGTTGGTGTGCAGGGGTGAGGCAATATCGTAAGGTGAGGTTGGTGTGCAGGGGTGAGGCTGGAGAGCAGGGGGGAAACGTGTGGGCAGGGGCAGAGCTGGGAGCCCAGGGGCTTTGGTGTGGCTCATCCTCTGCAGAAGACCTGACAGTTCAGGGAGAGGACAGAGGGTCAGACAGGCAACAGGACAGTCACCCGTGGAGGCTAACGTTGATACATCCCACCAACCTGGGGAGAAGGGGACACAGTTAGGGTCTCCCGGGAAACTGTCCACATCATTGTGCTGCAGGTTACTGCCTGTCCTCCCTGGACCCTCATGCCTGGCCCTGAGCTGCCCCGGGCGGGACAGGCTCAGAGCCTGGGTCCCTTCAGCACTCTCAGCGGTGGACGGAGTCTGGGGACACACAGATCTCTCCAGGCCCTTCAGTGTCAGGGCCACATTCTTAGCCATGTGCAGGGGCTACGGCAGGCAGGGGGAGCTGACGGCTCCGGGGCCATGCTAAGGCCCCTCTGGTCGGGGTCTCCGTGAGTCTACCCGGGACCAACTGCTCACCCGCTGCCCAGGACTGGTGGGGGCGAGGTCGAGACTCACCTGTGGTCATTAGGGTGGGTGTGGATTCTGTACCTGCAGTAGGGGAGGAAACGGGGTGTCTGTCAGTGCCATCGGGGCCCGGGGTGGGGGGGAGCACAGACCCTGAGAGTCCGACCGGCCCCTCTGAGGCTGAGCGGCTCGGGGAGTCCAGGGTGAGAGCTGAGAGGAAATGGAGCTTGGGGGACCCGGGGACATTCTCAGAGTTAATGTCTGCTAACCCCTGGAGTCACACAAGTCCTTGGAGACTCCGGCTCTCGGGACGCCCACGGGAGACAGCCCAGGGGCAGCGTCAGATGAGGGGACAGAGGACAGAGAGAAGCCCCCAGCCCTGCCTCTGTGCCAACTCCGTTCCCGTCCCTACGGGGACCAGGATGCTGGTGAGAATGAGGCCTCCTTGGCCCCCGTGAGCTACCCCCTGATGCTCTCCCAAGGGCCTTCCAAAGAATGGGGCACAAGCTTGCTGCCAAGTGCCAGTTTTGGGGGCAAGGATCTCTTGGGGACCGAGCGCGAGGGGCAAGTGGGTCTCCCTCCATGTCTCCTGCAGAACTTAGGCTCTGGAGCTGTCACCCTCCAAACAGCCCTTGCCCCAGCTGCCCTGAAGATGGGCCATGGACCGAGAACCTCCCCTTGGGGGAAAACGAGCAGGAGGGCCCTGGCCTTGTGGGCGGAGCCAAGACTGTCTTTGTCTCAGAGATGGGAAACATCTTATTGGTTGTTGTTTTTGCGTCTGGGCACCACCCTCAGCGATGCTCAGGGGTCCCTCCTGGCTCTGCACTCAGGAATTACCCCTGGCGGTGCTCAGGGGACCATACGGGATGCTGGGGATCGAATCCAGGTGGGCCGTGTGCAAGGCAAACGCCTTCCCCAGACGCCCAGTCTGTGCTGTGGATTCCGGGCCCTTTACTGCTGATTTTGACTTGGCTGGAGACCCCCGCTGGGAAGACCCTGGAGTCTGCAGTTCTCCCCCGTCGCCCTTACAAGCCGAGTCGACGCCACCGAGTGGGGATTCAGGGGTGCTGAGGGGCCGCACAGGGCAGTGGCAAGCTCAGGGCAGTAAGACTGCAACCACCCCCCACCCCGCACCTTACACCTAGGCGAGCCAGCAGACACCCGCCCACCCGGAGCCTCTGTGCCCTGCCTGGGGCATGCCAGCCACTTTGGCGGCAAGACCCCTGCCAAGCGTGGGGCGCATGCACCGTGAGCCGTGCTAGAGCCCCGTCCTTGCATGCATCATGCATCGTGCCCTGCTGGCCAGGAGACTGGCCGGCTCCAGCACTACCTGAGCACACGACTCCGGCGTCTTCCTTGTGGCCACAGTCGTGGTCGTACCACCCGCCATGGGGGCAGCTGGACAGCTGGGACTCCCATCCCTGGCAGTTCACGTCTCCCAAGAGAATGTTCCCCGAGCCCTGGCCAAAGTGGGCCCCTCCGGGTGCCGACAGCGCCCAGCCGCAGCCCAGCTGCCTGCACACCACGTTGGCGTCGTTGATGTCCCAGCTGTCATCACACACGGTGCCCCAGAAGCCTTGGTACAGGACCTCCACGCGGCCCTGGCACCGGTGGCCTCCGTTCACCAGCCTCAGCGCCAGCCCTGCAGACACAGTGCACAGCTCTGGCGACATGCTCGCCGCCCTGCCATCCCGGGCCTGGGGTCGCTGCTTCCTCTGAGCCCCGCCATTCTGGACCCTGGGGTCCTCTGAGCCCTGTCATCCTGAACCTGGGGTCCCTGCTACCTCACACCGCCTTGCTGTCCTGGGGTCTGACACTCCTGCTTTCTCATGCCACCCTGCCATCCTGGGGCCCGACTTCCTCTGAGCCCAGCCCCGGCTCTCCTGACTGGGCACCTCTCTTGGATGCAACTGCCCACTTGTCCCTCTGAATTCTGCCCTGGAAGCCTCCTGTGGCCAGCAAGTTTCCCCCAGCCTCCCCCAGATTGTCTGCCATAGAGGCAGGGGGAGGGGTGGGAGGGGAGGGAATCCTGGGGACCTTGGTGGTAAAAGATGTACACTGGTGGAGGGTTGGGTGATCGATCATTGTATGACTGAAACTCAAACAGGAAAGCTTGGTAACTGTGTCTCATGGTGATTAAAAAGTAATGCACTGCCCACTGTCTGTAGCACTGTCCTCCTGTTGTTCATCGATTTGCTCAAGGGGGACACCAGTAACATCTCCATTGTGAGACTTGTTGTTACTGTGTTTGGCATATTGAATACGTCACGGGGAGCTGGCCAGGCTTTGCCTTGCGGGCGGGATACTCTCAGTAGCTTGCTGGGCTCCCTGAGAGGGGCGGATGAATCGAACCCAGGTTGGCCACGTGCAAGGCAAATACCCTACCTACTGTGCTATCGCTCCAGCCCTATAAAAAATAATAATAAAGAATAATAAAAATAAAATTAACATTCTGAGTTTAAAAAAAGTGATGTGGAGTTTATGCCCAATTCAATCAGCTTAATCAATGGCTGAATAAATGGCAGTACTCCTACATTAAAACAAACAAACAAACAAACAAACAAAATATTCCTTTAACAAAAGAGTTAGTTCCTGCTGGCGGTGAACCATCCAGTCCTAGAAACTGTCAATGTCCCCCGACAGTCCACCAGGGGGTGCCGTGGTTCAATTTTGGATTTGCTGGGCTCCAAGTCCTGACAAGTGTGATCCCTTCTAGGGGTGGAGAACTCTCTGGACTTGGGTCCTCTAGAGCGACAGGTTAGGGACACCGAGTATGAGCTATGCTCCAAAGGGAAGCAGCTGAAGCCACTCATGGGGACTCCTGGTGGCCCTGAAGTCCACTGCAGCCTGAGTTTAGCAGCAGACGGCTCGGCCCTTGGAAGGCCCCTAGAGAAGTGTTTTGTGCCACATCTCCTCCTTCCTGACTCATTGCCACTCTGTATCGAAGTAAACAGGACTCTCAAGACCGTCTTTATCATCAGGGAGGCCAGGGCCAAGTGCCCACGCGCCTTCCAACGACCCACAGCCCACGACTCAGTTCCCATTATTGCAGTTTCCTCTTCCAAATGGCTAACTATACTTGTGGGTCAAGATACTTCCTGGCTTTTTTGCACTTTTAACAATCTTCCCAGGTACAAAGTAGATGATTTGAGGGGTGGGGGTGAGGGAGGAAGAGTCAGATCTGCTTGCCTTACAGTTTCTATACGGATTCACAGGATTCTTTTTCTAAATCTGAAATGCATGACGACTCTGAGCGATCTTGTTTTTTTTCTATGTCATGAAATATTTTGTTGTTTCATTGTGCAAGGAGTTGGTTCCTCATCACTCATCAATTATTCACTGTTAGGATGTAGAGTTCAATAAGACGATGGAAAGATGGCGGCCAAAGCAAGAAAGGAAAATGGTAGAGCAAAGTGAACCATCACTGCCCGGGACCCAGGAGATGGCACGATTGGCAAGGAGCCCTTGATGGCACTGTGGTATGTCCATGGCTTTCACTGAATGCAGTTAAGAATTCATCATTTTCCATCATTTTGTGTATGATGACAAGGGAGGTGGTTTCCAGTACTTGGATGACTCAGAGAGAAATGCAGAGCGTCAAAGAATAGCAACACTAGAGACCAGGGTACAATCTCAGACTATGAGTCTGTGTGATGCCATTCTAGATTACTTCCTCCAATTCAGACGGGCTTAGTTAGACAATCCTCGGGATCCAAGTAGAATCCGCCCTTCTCACCCACTTCAGAGGGCCAGATTTCCTTCGCTGTCTATGTTATAGCAAGCAGACCAGCTCATTTTGCTAAAATGATGGGTGATGGTGCAAGTTTATCTGTGTGAGGGGTGTGTGTGTGTGTGTGTGTGTGTGTGTGTGAAGCTAGGTTGTTTTCATTGAAAAAAATTATTTAGAAAGCTGTGAAAGAAGAGAAAGAGAGGAAGTGCATGTTCAAGAGAAAACACAGACTTTCTTCCAAAGTGGAGGTAGAGAAACAGTGACAAGAAAGCAAGATATGTGTGCAAGGGAGAATGTGGGCTTGAAGAACAAGCCATGAGGTCATCTTTTATGATCCCTTTATATCCATATCTACCCCTAACAAATCAGCTATCTTTATCTCATTAAAATGTCTGATACTACTGCTTTCATGCTCTTTCATTTCATCCTCCGGGTGTGCGGAGTGGGATGGCATTTGTCGCACTTCTCAGACTCTTCAAAGACAGTTACTCCTAGCAGTAACAGTCAGAACCAGACTGTTTTCTCCAACTTGCCGCTAGAGAGTTGGATGTGCCGTGCCGCCGTGCCAACACCTTGGTATGGGTCTATGGGTCCACAGTAGACACCCCCAGCTGTCCTGTTCCATTGGGAGAGCCGGGGAGAGCCAGGTGGACACTCATCTCTGGAGAAGAAGCATTCCAATGCAAACAAGGTCGGAACGTTCTCTCAACAGAGACCTTGGACCGGGAAATCTTCACATCAGAACATCCTCACCTCATTCCTCATCCCCCACCCCTGCTCCCACATGCAAAGATGCCTGGACAGACATGCCCGAGAGTGAGCCTCTTTCAAAACCCTATGCTTTAAACTCGAGACAGAGGGTATCGCATGCCAGGCCCCAGGCACCGTTCTTAGTCATGGGGCAGCCGGGATCAGGACTGGCATCCAACAGAGAAACACTTCAGCTCCAGGGGCCTGACAGGACTCGTCAGAGGATCGCACAGAATGTGAAGTGGTGACCAACCCTGAGCATAATCCCCTTGCATGGGCTTATTGGAACTCACTTCCGTTCTTTCAACAGCGAGTCACAGAGTTATCGATGCTGCCGGCTGCCATTGTGAGCATGGGGTCAAATCGCGCTGTTCTGTTTTCTAGGAAACGGCAGTTGGCTGCGCTAATCTGCTGGGCATCAGTAGCCAAGACTGTGGTGCCATCAAAACAGACCAGACAGGGAAGGCTAGAGAGTCCTCAAGATTCTTTCTAAACCTGGACACGCTCCAAGAGATCTGGTAACTCTCCATCTGGACTCAACCACTTCCCCCAAATCTCCCGTCTCTCACCTATGTTGTGCGATGGGACACAATTAGACACGATTGCTCCAATGGAACAAGAGCTAAAGAAGGGCTTGAGCAGAAAAGCCAGCAAGCTCTCAGCAGACCAGCCCCTATCTGAGCGATTGGGCTCTGTTTACTCCAGAAGAGAATACGGAGCATGGGGAATTCCAACCGCGCTCCTGGAAAGGGGTCCTGAACCTACACAAAGATTTGCTGAAGACGTTCACATCTTCATAGTGTGCTGACGACAGCCCCCTCCCTTATTATCATTGGCACCATCTCTTTCTTTCTTTTTTTTTGTTTTGTCCTTATTTATTTTCAGCACACATCTCCCACCCAGAGAGATCCCTCCAACCGCCATTTATTTAGGGATCCCTTCTCTGTCCCAGCTGCCTTCTCTCCCAGCTCATAAAGCAAGCTTTCAGCCATGGACCAATCTTCCTGACCCTGTCTCTACTGTCCTTGGGTGTTTGTCTCATATTATGATATTTTATATTCCACAGATGAGTGCAGTCATTCTGTGCCGGTCTCTCTCTTTCTGACTCATTTCACTTAGCATGATACTCGCCATGACCAACCACTTTTAAGCAGATTTCATGAATTCATCTTTTCTAACAGCTGCATAGTATTCCATTGTGTAGATGTACCAAAGTTTCTTTGACCAGTCATCTGTTCTCGGACACCCGAGTTGTTTCCAGTTTCTGGCTATTCAGGGATCCAAGTCGGGTTGGCCATGTGCAACAGAATCTTTGTATTTTTTCTCCAGCAGCCCACCCTTTTTCTTTTTCATGTTATTTCCTGTTTTCTTTCTTTGTAATTATTGGAATAGGCCCATAGACAGAATTTCATTGTGTGATTTCTAAACAGTGAGTACAGAAGATAGTGTGTGTGAAACCATGCTGGGCACCATCTCTTTCTTCCCCCGACCTCATCAGACTTGATGAGGACAACGAAGCAGACCTGGAAACAGCAGTGTGAGACTACACAGATAACTCCACCTCCATTTCTACCATCCCAACTCCAAGCACCCACTGATGCCTCTGCCCACAGCCCCTGGCTGCCACCAACCCACTCTCCCGCTGCTGCTTCGAGTCAGGGAGGTGGTCTCTGCCACCCGACTTTCCTTAAGCGCATCGAATGGGGTTGTTCACTGAAAGTCACCCTACAACCTTGACGAAAATCCCATCTCCTTTCCTCACTGGTTGGGTCACACCATTGCAGGCTAAACCATCCTGGTCTTCGCCATTTTGCAGATTTTCACCTCCCACAAAGCACTTTCTCTCGAGTGCTCACTTGTCAGCCATTGAGGGGTTAGGAGACCTTCGCCTGACCCTCGACAGTGTCCCACTGAAGCGAGTGACCAGCCTCAAGGGTGGGGATGCCCCAAGGTGGAGACCGCCCCCAATTGTTCATGACTTGATGCGGCAGTTCAAGTGAACACCAAGAATGGGCAGCCCAGAGAGTTGTGCCTGGGCCCATCTCTGTGTCCACCCTGACCTGTGCTTCTCCTTAGTTGGCACCGCTGCCCACGGCAGTCTACACCCCTGCTCCCCAGAGATTTGCCTCACAAGGCGTTCTGCCACCAGCAATGGCAACTCTTCTAAGTTGGCAAATCAGAACCCCAGGAAAT